CTAGTGCTTGCCTAGTCAAATCTAGGTTGTGGCTGAATTTGCCTTCAGGGCATTTGCTCTTAACACTCAGGTCTTAAAATGTTATGCCACAGAAAGGGTGTCTGTATGGAGGGACTCAGACGCAATCTGGTGATGAGCTATAAAATGCCATGGGATGGTTTTAGACAAGCCATTATTTCACAGCCAATCCTATCTTGCAGGGGTAGTTGCCATGAGGCTGAAATCTATTCTGAGCTCCCTGGGAGAAAGGGGGGAAAGAAGTGCAACAGGCAACAAAGAAGTAAATCAAATGGGTTTGGGTGGGTAGGACTTCCCCATGAACTGGCTAAGTTGCGTAGGGATGGAAAGACCTGTCACCTTAGGCTCTCTCAGGTTCTCATTCTTTCAATCTTAAATTTGCTTTTCCACATTTTTTCAGCGTTGAATTTCTTTCTTTCTTTCTTTCTTTCTTTCTTTCTTTCTTTCTGAAAATTCTTCAGCATTTTAGTGTAAATTTATCCCAATTTTTGTATGTAGTTTTGGCCCATTTTTGCAAACATTTCCTCACAATAGAATACATCTTTGTATGTTCTTTTCAATAATATGTTGATTTTATGCACCCTTTTCCTGAATATATGCATTTTTTGCAAACATTGTTTGAGCGGAGAATTGCATCGTGAAATTTCCATATGCACCCATTTTGAAGGATGACCAGGCTCCAGTTCTCATATTGCTTCAGAAAGTGTGAGTTTGATGACTCTGGCTTTAAATACGAACTGAATTTAATCTCTTCCCCCCCCCATCCCTGAACCCATGACAACTAAAATCCAGCCAGCTAATAAACAGGCAGGCAAGGATTCTGAATGAGATTTTATCCCTCTCTCAGAACACTAGAACTTGTGTACATCCAATGAAGCTGGGTGTCAGAAGATTCAGATCAGATAAAAGAAAGCACTTATTCACACTATATATTGATAAACCCTAGAACTCACTCTTGCAGGGAGAAGTGAGGGCCACCAACTTGGAAGGGCTTTAAAAGAGGATTGGACAAATTAATGGAGGATATGGCTACCAATGGCTAGTAGCTACGATGGCTATGTTCTACCACCACACTTGGGGGCAGTATGCTTCTGAATACCAATTCCTGGAAGCCACAGATGAGGGGAGTAATCTTGTTCTCAAATCCTGCTTGCAAGCCTCCCACTGGGGTATCTGGTTGACCGTTATGAGAACAGGGTGAAGAACCAGATGGGCCATTGGCCTGATCCAGCAGGCTCTTCCTGTATTTTTATTGTGTTTCAGTGAGCTATATGAACAAGTGGGATCTGCAAAAATGTGGGTGTATGAAAGTGCAGATGTGTGCTTGGGTCATCCTTTTCATTCTCCTACCCTGCCCACCACTATTTCCACCTGTATCTAATCTTTTGTCCCATCTCTCATGGTCTTCTCATCCTTCTCTATCCATCATTCTTCTCAGAAGACATGCATGGCATTGCCAGTTAGAGTTGATGGTCTGGAGCTTCCCAGACAGCTGCTTGGGAGACCTTTGGCCAGTGGCTTTCTCTCAGCCCCACCTACCTTGCAGGCTCACTGTGAGGATAGAATGTGGAGAGGAAGAACCACATACACCACCCTGAGGTCCTTGGAGGAAAAGCGTCTGCATTGCTGCCCCCAGCAGTGAAGGTAGAATTTACCTATTGCAGATTAGAAGCCTGTTAGATGTGCGGAGGCCCATTTGTATGAATATTTTAGGCAGCCCAAGTTGATGTACTTCTGCTGAGAAGCACGTTTCACTGTGTTCAGTGGTGCTTACTTCCTAGTCAGGTATCTCCATTGTTATGTGGGTGGTATTAGAATAAAAAATTTAAAAACCCAACTTAAAAGCCTTTAGGCAGAGGGATTACAGATGGAGTCTCTCCCCCACCCCTTCTTTCAGCTTTGTGTTTCTACAGTTTACTTAATTATAGCCGAACAGTCCCTCATTCTGTCAACAAGCTAAGAAGTCCCTTTTTGCTGCTCCAGCCCTTCGCTCCGCTATGATTCTTCTGCTAAGGAGGAGGGCATCGTGTTGAAGATGTGTGCTTCCTGATTTTCATCTGGGGAAAACAGCTGGAGAGAGGAATTCCAGCAGCTGGAGAGAGGAATTCCATTTAAAAATGGGATAAACCAGAGTGTTCTAAGTCCTGATCTGCGAGTTTCGCCACCCTGAGTGGTGTGAAACTGACCGAGTGAAGACCACCTTTTCTCTTCTCTGCTCCTACCCCGTCCCCAACTCTGTTCCACAGCTGTATTTCTAATCAGCAGAAGATATATCTTTCTTGGAAAGTAAAGCGCTTCTCTCTCTCTCTCTCTCTCTCTCCCGTCCCTGCAACATTCTTAACCTTCTATCTTATGTATGGATCACTGGTTAGCTTAGAAATGCACGGACACAAAAGCAGCGACTGACATGTGTGGCTTGACGGCAGTAATGGCCGTTTATAAGCCTAATCCATCACATTTAGTGGACACCTCCATTTTTGTCCCTCTGAAAAGGTATAAAAAATAAAACGGTATGGCTCAGGCTCAGAGGTGCCTTGGTAAATATTTTAACTATTTACAAGATCCCCCACAATAACAAAAGGAGCATCTGTGGCCCATTTACCCAGAGGCCTCTGGATGCTGGAAGGCAACCCAGATGCTGCTCAGAATTCCCTCACAACAATGAGAAACTCTTCACAACTAGGACACGCCTTCTGTGTTCTTTGTCACAAGATGGTGGTTGACATTCGGAAGGCGTTCTCTCGTTCCCACGCATATAGGTTTCGGTGACGTGGGCCCAGCCTACAAATATATCCAGTATTCTTCACACATGCACACAAAAATGAATTAGCTACAGGAAGAAAAAGCAAAATGTCCACATCAGAACATTGGTAGGGCATGGAGAAAACCTCATCATCATAGGATAACTCTTGTGCTCTGATTAGCAATGTTTTCTTTCCCACCCGTATTTTATCTGAAACAGTTCAAGGTTAGCTTTGCGTCAGAGTCTTAGATAAACTTCAGCTGCTACTTGGCAAGTCCAGCAACTTTGCCTCCTCTCTTTCTCTCTCTGTGCCCTGGATTTTGTTTTCACATCACCTCATCAGAGCAAAAGTTTAGGGCACAAGGTGATAAAACAATGCTACCATTCTTTTTTCCTTATTTGTGTTCAGAAGAAACAACAAAGGCTATGTTTTGGGCCATGTCCACAGAATGGGCTGCATCCAACAAGGTTCAGCTCAGAGAAGACCCATTGAAATTCATGAACCTAAGTTAGCCCAATTCATTCATTTCAGTGATTCTCCTCTGAGTAGAACTAACATTGGCTTCAACTCTATGCACCTCAACCACTATGACACCAAACACTCACAGCTTTCCCCAAAGAATCCTGGGAAGAATCCTATCCTAGTGGGTAGAGTGTTGGCCTAGGACCTGGAAGACCAGGGTTCAAATCCCCCCTCTGTCATGAAGGTGACCCCAGGCCAGTCACTGCCTCTCAGTTTAACGCTAACTTATCCCACAGGGTTGCTGTGGGGATTAAATGAGGAAGGCAAGGACCATGTATGCCCCTTCAAACTCCTTGGAGGAAAAGGTGGGATAGAAATCTAATAAATGCAATAAATAAATAATAGTTTGCTGGGGTGCTGAGAGTTGTTGGGAGACCTCTATTCCCCTCATAGCACTACATCCTCAAAGTGGTTTAACCGTCAATTCTTCCCAGGGAACCCTGGGAATGGTAGCTGTGAGGGGAATGGAGAATCTCCTAACAACTCCCAGTACCCTTAACAAACTATACCTCCCAAGAACCTGGAGTTGGAAAAAGCCATGACTCTTTAAAAATGGCACAAGATCACTTCAAATGTAGAGTGTGGGTGTATCCTTTACTTGAGCTTAAAGTAAACTTGTGTATCACCTGCCAAGTTGTTGAATGCATAGCATTCAGGATGGGGGTAAAATAATTTCTAAAATTCCCATTTTGATAGTCCCAGGCACAAGAAAACCAGGAGGTTTATCAAAGTTCTCATTTGGATTCATGGATTATAAACCGCAACGGTCTCTTTGTTAAAATAAAAATAAAAATTGACAAACGTATCCCCACCACCCAGGAACATTCAATCCAAAACGAAACAAAAACAATCCATTTGAAACAATCCATTTGTCCATCCCCAAATTTGATTAAATGCATTACTGATACAAATTTAAATGTTATCAAGCAGCAGACATTGGGGTATTGCTGAACCTGCCTCCCCCCAAATGTATGCTTAGCACTGAAACCTGAAAATATTTCCCTTTTGAACTGCCCTTGTGATCAGAGATTTGCTTTCACCTCCTGCATTTCGGATCTCTGTGTTAGTAGCACTGCCATCCGCCAGTGTGTTCTCATTTTCTATGAGTTAGCCTGTAAAATTAACAGCTGCCTTTTGTGTGGAGCATCACACCTTCTTTTTTAAACACCCTCAAGCTGTCACTGTTGTTGTCCAAAGGAATGCATGGTTTACATTTCACAGCCCTTCACCAAAGCAATGAATAGATGGGTGATTGGTAAACAAACTGCTCTCTGCTCACTGTTGTTTCAGTGGCCCTCCAACAACGTGCATCGGCCACAAAAGGGGAAAATATTTATCGGGCGGGTGCTCGGCTCTGCTTCCACTGGGGCCATCATAAAATGAGGCACCATCCAAACATTTTCACAGCTGAGTTTGCACTTTCATAAACAGACGCAAACAGCCATCCTTGGAGGTCAACAACGAAAAATAAACGGTGCCGAGAGGGTCCTTTTGTGGCGCAGAGGAGAAGATGCTCTGAAGCATTTATGACAGAAGAGGACAATGGGGGCTTTCTTCTCTGATCTTCAGAATCTGTTTGCTTTGAAGAAGAATGACTGAGAGAAGTTCAGGGCTGCCACACATAGGAAAGCCTGAGGATAAATATTTTATTGAATAAATGCAGGCATTGGTCAGACTTGGTTAAACTTCCGCTAGCCTTCTCTAGAACTAGGATGAAGGGCTGTAGCTCAGCGGAAGAGTGCTTGCTTTGCATGCAGAACTCTGCATGTTCAATCCCTGGCTCCTGCCTGAAACCCTCGAGAGCCAATGCCAGTCAGTGTTGAGAGTTCTGGCCTAGCTTACTTAAATTACGCAAGTTACGTTGTCAGTGTGTTATTCCACTCCATTTGTTTCAGTGCAAACGAAACCGACCATTTGAAGAATGAAAGCAACAACAGCAGCAAACATCAATCATATTTGTGGGATTGAGAAACCAGCAATTCCTGCTTCTTTTCTGCTTTTGTCAGAATTCTCAGACATCCTTCTTAGAGGGTTGCTTCAACAAGTTCATTTGAGTTAAATAATAAATACACTGGGGCCAAAAGAGAAGACTTAGAGGACCCCCACAAGCCTAGGTCAAAAGTTGCGGAGAGCCTCGCTTATTCATTCCAGGATCTAGCGGATCTTGTTCTCTGCTTCAGATCCATTAAGTTCCATATCAAAGCAAAACACATAGAAAAACAATCCTAAAAAGTAACACATTAGCAGATAAGGCAGGGCAGGAAAGGAAGATAGCTTATGAAGTCTACAGCAGAAGAGCAGCTAAAATGGAAGGATCCTAAGAAATTGAATACGGAATGTACAACAATATCCTGGCAGCTGAAAAGTGTTCAACTTCAAGGCTATCACTGTCAGGGAAGAGAAGGGGGAGGGAGAGAGAGGGGGGAACCCAACCCAAAACCAAATACGAATTTGCCCGAGAGCAAAAGAACATTAGTAATATCAGGAAGAGGATAGACAGACAGTAAGTTATGGACATAAAACCCTTTGTAGCCAAACCAATTAACCTTCACCCTAAGGCATCCCTCTTTCCCCTGGCCTTTCATTTAAAGAGTTTTACAATTTACAGCCCTCTGTTTCTCCGGGGAGGTCCTGCATCACTCGGTTTGCACATTTCAGAGCAGCACACATGTGATCCTGGCTGCATCAGAAGCCACACAGCCTAGCCAAGAGCAGGAAATCCACAGGAAGAAAGTTGGCACTGAGGAGGAGCTGAGCTAAGAACCCAAGGAAGGAAGCTTGATCGAAGTGATCTGCTTGGAGGGCCACTGCCACCATTTTTTATATGTATCAGCCTGGGGAAAGATGGACAACAAAGCTGAATTAAACAGGAAAGGAATTAAATGAAATAAGTGTTTAGTGTTCACCTGAGTGAATTCTGCCCCAGCTAAAGAATGCCCTCCTTCCTTGAGGTACCAATTTTGCTTTCTTTCACACAGCAGGTGAACCACTTTTTTTTTGTCTTTCCCAAATATTTTATTGTTTTCATTTATTTATTCAAGAAGCAACCATCTGTATTCAGCGACTGCCCTCCGCAGAAGCACCAAATGTTTAACAACCAATCCTTCTTCACAGGGAACTGGGAATGGTAGCTCTGTGATGGGAATAGATGCCCCCTAACAACTCTCAGCCCATGACTGTCTGAACTGGTATCATCGCATTTAAAATGTATGATGTGAATGTGGTCATAATATTACCAGATTGGGGGAGACCAGTGGGTGGAAAGAGTTACTCTGGAACTTGGAAGGTCCTACTAGCCATAGGAACGTCTTAATCTACAACCGGTAGCAGCTCAAGCAGCAACAAGGCATACAGGGCTGGGAGAATCTATGGTCCTCCAGTTGTTGTTGGACTACAACTCCTTGCCTTTTGACCATTGACCATGTTGGCCAGCTTTCTTGGGGTTTGGCTTCTAGCAACATCTGGAGGTACACAGGTTCCCCATCTCTGATCAAAAGGTTCCCCATTGTGGGCCCCTGACATTATCTTTGAGGCCACAATGCCTTGAATACAAGAGAAGAAATCTGACAGAACTCTGATTAGCAGCAGCAAAGCACATTTGCATCCGGAAAGTGGTGTCCTTCTTTAGATCACCTGGGATTGCTGGATTGGTCCCTGTGGAGGAGTGGTGGGCTACTCTTACCCTCCTTAAGCTTACCTGCCTTATCCATCTGCATGACACATGTTCAGATGCAGTTCGGGAATCTCTTTGGATGGCTGATTTCATTGGGTTGAAGTCAGTGCATGTTTTGCTGGTGACTTCCATAACAGCCCAGGATGAACTTCCTTTAGAAAACATAGAAACTGACCATTTTGTAAGGGTAAGCAGAAGAAGAGGGCTTTTTTATTATTATTTCCTCCACTTGATCTCTCTTGAAAGATAACTAGACATCCAGGTAACTACTTAAGTGGAACTCTTGGTGTCAGGTTACCAATGCTTCCCTCTTTTTTAGTACCCCCGGGGCAAAGAGCAACTGTTAATGACACACTTACCGGAAAGGAGGTTAAGTCTGTTGACACTGAACTGTTGGCAGCAGAGCACTTCAACACTTGCTCCATCCTGGCTCAATATACCAAAGGCAGCTGAGAAATTGCAGCTTTTCTGGGTACCTAAAACGTTGCTTGGTAAAGGCAACAAAAGATTCAATTAATATACAGTGTTATTTCCCCCAGTGACAAAATGCAATAATAAAAAGTTGGAAGAATCATCTTATTTCAGTTCTGTGCCATTCTTATGTGCACTCAATTGTAGGTCCTGTTTTCTGTGGAAATATTTTAACACACACACACAGACAGACAGACAAATCACATTTAAATTGTAGGCATTTTAAAATTCAATTTCCCCTAAAAATATAAATGCATTTTATCCCCTTTTCTCCTTATGCATTCTCTTCCTAAAAGACTCTTTTCCCAATAAAATAATATTCATTTTTGAACTGTAACTGCATCATCATAAAATCCAGAGAAGTGTGCAATTTGATTATAAAGTGTGTTCACCTCCACATAGAAGTCCAGGAACAGGAAATTAGGTTGGTTCACTTTAAAATGTTGAATAAACTTAATTCTCATGGATTCTGGAAGTTGAAAAAGCATTTCTTATATATTTCCTGTGCATTTCCCTCAGTCTAACCTACCTGACAAGGTTGTTGTTAGGGAAGTATGGAGAAGGGGACAGTCATGTCTTCCAGCTTCTGGGAAGAAAAGTGAGATAGAAATGGAAGTAATAAACAAAATAAAATCTATCGAGTTCAATAGGAAAAAATAAATTTTGTTCTCATGCACTTTGATCACTGTTGTTGTTGTTAAAATTTGTATACTGCTGTTCATCCATAGATCTTAGAGCGCTTTGCAGCATAAAAATACAAGATAAAAACACAAAATACAGAATTCATTTTGACATGAGCTTTGCCTGTGAATCCACTCTGCTGGCCAAAGAAAACACCCCAACCCTGGTTGCCATTAGTAGCTGTCAAAATCAATGATCAGGTCGGAGCTAAACAGTACAAATTGAAAGCTTTTGCAGACGATTTAGTATTGACGTTACAGGAGCCAGAATCTAGTACTAAAAGAGTATTAGAATTGATTCAGGAATTTGGTCATGTGGCAGGATTTAAGTTGAACAAGTTAAAAACTAAGGTGCTTGAGAAAAATTTAACACCGATTGAGAAAGAGGTTTCAGAAAGAGACAGGTTTAACATTGGTTAAGAAAGTAAAATACTTGGGGGTTAACATGACTGCTAAGAATTTGAACCTATTTAAAGACAATTATGAGAAATGTTGGTCAGAAGTGAAAAAGGATTTAGAGATATGGTCAAACCTGAAGCTTTCCTTGTTAGGACGAATTGCTGTTATAAAGATGAATGTATTGCCAAGAATGTTATTTCTGTTTCAATCATTGCAAATCTTGGACAAGATGGACTGTTTCAAGAAGTGGCAGAGAGACATTTCTAGATTTGTCTGGCAGGGCAAGAAGCCCAGAATAAAATTTAAAATATTAACCGATGCAAAGGATAGAGGTGGATTTGCCCTGCCAGACCTTAAACTTTATTATGAATCAGCAACATTCTGCTGGTTGAAAGAATGGCTGCTTCTTGAGAACACAGACATTTTGGACTTAGAAGGTTTTAATAATGTTTTTGGGTGGCATGCATATTTGTGGTATGACAAGGTTAAAGCACATAAAGCATTTAAAAACCATATTGTCAGGAAGCATTGTTAAATGTCTGGATAAGATATAAGGACTTACTTGAAAACAAAACCCCAAGGTGGTTGTCACCGATGGAAGCAAAGGCTCAGAAAAGGCTCAATATGGAGGCCAAATGGCCGAAATATTGGGAAATTTTGGAACAGGAAGGAGACAAACTGAAATTGCAGAGTTTTGAGAAATTAAAAGACAAAGTGCGAGACTGGCTTCATTATTATCAGATAATGGAGGCATACAATTTGGATAAGAAAATTGGTTTCCAGGTGGAAAAATCAAAATTGGAAACAGAACTGTTAGAACCCAAAACTAAGATTTTGTCAAAAATGTATAACTTGCTGTTGAGATGGAATACTCAGGATGAAATGGTGAAATCTGCTATGATTAAATGGGCACAAGATCTTGGACATAATATTATGTTTGCTGACTGGGAACAGTTGTGGACCACAGGTATGAAATTTACAGCATGTAATGCCTTAAGAGAGAATATTATGAAAATGATATACAGGTGGTACATGACACCAGTCAAGCTTGCAAAAATCTACCATTTGCCCAATAATAAATGTTGGAAATGTAAAGAAACTGAAGGTACATTCTTTCACCTTTGGTGGACGTGCCCAAGGATCAAGGCTTTCTGGGAGATGATATATAACGAATTGAAAAAGGTATTTAAATATACCTTCTTGAAGAAACCAGAGGCCTTTCTCCTGGGCATAGTCGGCCAATTGGTGCCAAAGAAGGACAGAACTGTTTTATGTATGCTACTACAGCAGCAAGAATTCTCATTGCAAAGTATTGGAAGACACAAGATCTACCCACCTTGGAAGAATGGCAGATGAAGGTGATGGACTATATGGAATTGGCGGAAATGACTGGCAGAATCCGAGACCAGGGAGAAGAGTCGATGGAAGAAGATTGGAAAAAGTTTAAAGACTATTTACAGAAATATTGCAAAATTAATGAATGTCAGAATGATGTCGGATAGAAACTAAGTGGTCTTTAGCCAAAATGTTATAAGGGAATATGAAAAAAATGGTTTATTAATAGGTAA